AATAGAAGTGAAAGGAAAACTTCCAAACTCATTCTATGAGGCCAAATCCCCAAAACAAAGACCTCGCTAAAAAAGAGAATTATAGACCAATATTATCACTGATGAACATAAATGCCAAAATTCTCCAAAAGATACCAGCCAATAGGATCCAACAGTATATTAATAGGATTATTCACCAAGATCAAGTGGGATTTATTCCTGGGCTACAAGGGTGGTTCAACAGGCACAAGTCGATTAGCATGATACAATACATTAACAAAACAAAGGATAAGAACCATGTGATCCTCTCAGTGCAGAAAGGCATTTGACAAAATACCGCATCCTTTTTGATAAAAAAAAAAAAAACCTCAGAAAAGTGGGGAGAGAAGGAACATACCTCAGCATCATAAAGGCCTTATACAAAAGACTTACAACTAATATCATCCTCAGTGGGGAAAAACAGAGCTTTTACCCTAAGGTTAGGAACACGACTGGGATGTCCACTTTCGCTACTGTTGTTCAACATATTACTAGAAATCCTAGCTTCAGCAATCAGAAAACAAAAGGAAATAAGAGGCATTCAGATGAGCACAGAAGTCAAACTTTTCACTCTTTGCAGACATCATGATTCTCTATGAAAAAATCCCAAAGGACTCCACCAAAAAATTGCTAAAATTTACACAGGAATTCAGCAAGGTCACAGTCTATAAAGTCAACACACAGAAGTCTGTTGCATTTCTATACATCAACAATGAAGCAGCAGAAAGGAGTCAATCCCATTTACAGTGGTACCAAAAACTCAAAGGTACCTATCTAACCAAAGCGGTAAAAGAATTGTGCTATGAAAACTACAGAATATTTGTGAAGGAAATTGAGGAATACACAAAGAAATGGAAAAACATTCCATGCTAATGGATTGGGAGACCAAATATTTTTAAAACGTCTATACTACCTAAAGCAGTATACACATTCATTGCAATCCCTACCAAAATAACACCAGTATTTTTCACAGATCCAGAAGAAACAATTCTGAAATTTATATGGAACCACAAAAACCACCAGATAGCCAACACAATGTTGAAAAAGCAGTACAAAACTGGAGGTATCACAATTCCAGAATTCATGTTATACTACACAAAACTGTAGTAATCAAAATAGTATGGTACAGGCAGAAAAAAAAATAGACACATAGATCAATAGAACAGACACCAAATCCAGAAATGAGTCCACAACTACATGGTCAAACAATGTTAATGTTCAACAAAGAGGTAAGAATATCCAATGGGAAAAAGACAGTCTCGTCAACAAATGGTATTGGGAAATCAAATGGTAATGGGAAAATAGATGCAGAAGAATGAAACTGGACCACTTTCTTACACCATACACAAAAAAATAAATTCAAAGTGGACAAAAGACCTAAATGTGAAACAGGAATCCATCAAAATCCTAGAAAAGAATACAGGTATCAACCTCTTTTGACCTCAGCCACAGCAAATTCTTGCTAGACGTGTCTCCAGAGGCAAGAACAACAAAAGCAAAAATGAACTATTGGGAGTTCATCAAGACAAAAATCTTCTGCACAACAAAGCAAACAAACTAAAAGGCATCCTATGGAATGGAAGAAGGTATTTGCAAATTACATATCAGATAAAGGGCTAGTATCCAAAATCTAAAAAGAACTTACCAAACTCTACACCCAAAAAATTAAAAATCAAGTCAAAAAAATGGGAAGAATACATGAATAGACATTCTCCAAGAAGACATACAAATGGCTAACAGACACATGAAAAAAATGTTCAAATACAAATCAAAACCATAATGGGATAGCATCTCACCAGTCAGAGTGGCTAAAATTAACAACTCAGGAAAGAATGAATGCTGGCAAGGATATGGAGAAAGGGAAACCCTCTTGCACTGTTGGTGGGAATACAAACTGGCCCAGCCAATCTGGAAAACAGTATGGAGGGTCCTCAGAAAGTTAAAAATAGAACTACGCTGACTCAGCAATTGCGGTACTAGGTTTTTACCCAAAGTATACAAACATAGTGATTCAGGGGGGCACATCCACCCCAGTGTTTATATCAGCAATGTCCACAATAGCCAAAATAAAGAAAGAGCCCATATGTCCATCAGTGGATGATAAGGAAGATGTAGGATTGGGGGGGCTGGAATATTACTCAGCCATCAAAAACAATGAAATCTTTCCATTTGCAATGACATGGATGAAACTATAGTGTGTTATGCTAAGCAAAATAAGTCAATTAGAGAAAGAAAAATACCATATGATTTCACTCATATGTGGAATTTAAGAAACAAAACATGAACATATGGGACAAGGGTAAAGAAGGAAGCAAACTATAAGAGACTCAACGATAGAGCTCAAACTGAGGGTTGATGGAGGTGTGTGGAGAATGGGCTAAATGGGTGATGCGTGTTGTGTGTGATAAACCACTGAATTCTACTCCTGAAAGTAGTATTCACATAGTTAACATAGTTAACTGTATGTTAACTAACTAGAATTTAAATAAAAAGTTGAATGAAAAGAAAATAGTGTCATGTTGATAGCATAAGATGGGATAAGAATACAGTGTCTTTGCCTCTGTGGTCTTTATCCCCAAAACACAAATTCCATTTTTATCCTCAAAACATATCAGACAAGTATCCCATACTGAAGGACTTTCTGCAACGTCTTCTAAATGTCAAGGTTATCAAAACCAGGGCAAGTCACTCATAATCTAGAGGAGTCTAAGGAGACATGATAACTAGATATAATATTGTATCCTGGATGGAACTATGGAACAGAAAAACGAGATTAAGGGGGAAAAATAAATATCAAAGTATGGATTTTATTTAATAATTGTCAACATTATATTATTAGTTGTGACAAATCTAGGAATGATAACAGTAGGGTAAATTGGGTACAGCATATTTAGGAATTTTCCTTCCTATCCTTGTAGTTTTCTTGTGAACTTAAAAGACATTCTAAAATAAAAAATTTCTTTTTATTTTATTTTTTAGATTTTATTTATTTATTTGACAGAGAGAGGGGGAACACAAGCAGGGGAAGTGGGAGAGGGAGATTTTTTTCTTCATCAAATGAGTTCTTGCCATTTGCAATACATGGATGTACCTAGAGGGTATAATGTTGAGTGAAATAAGTCAATCAGATAAAGACAATTATCATATGATTTCACTCATTTTGGAATTTAAGAAACAAAACAAAAGAAAAAACCTCCCCCCCCGCCAAAAAAAGGGTAAACAAAAAAGCAAACTCTTAAATTCAGAGAACAAACTAGTGGTTGTCAGAGGGGAGGAGGGATGACATTGATAAAGGGGATCAAAAGTACATTTATCTTATGGAGCACTGATAATATATTGTTAGCTACTAGTTGGGTTTTTTGGATTTTTTTTTTTTTTTGTATTTTAAATATTTTGAGGCCTTTACTGGTATGTAGTTAAGTTACTTGGAATTAATTTGATTATTTCAGGGATTGCATTAAGCTGTGTTTTATTAGATTCAGAGCTTGCTTTAGGACTCCTTGGCTCTTCTGTTAAGCAATAAACATCCTTCTGGTATTCTTCCCAGTTGGCCATGAAGTAGATTTTTCTACCCTGGCTGGTGGCAGCAGAAGCTTCCTAAATCTATGTATGCTTTGATAATTTTTTCAGCCTATTCTTTTTCACTGGTCTTTCCCCATCCTTGAGTATTTTTCTTCCATACTTGCATAAGTTAGTACTTAGGAGACTCTTCTACAAATCTCTAAGACTCCATATCAGTACAGCTTTTTCTTCTCTAGTATTTCATCCTTAACAATTCTGGTTGTCATGATTCATTTATGTTTCTTCAACTTAATGAGTCAGCTAGGCTTTTTTGGTTCTTTCATTCTAGGTTAAACTCTTGGCAGTAAGCTATGTGATAAGGGAAATTTTCAATTTTTAATGTTTGTGGGCCCTGCTCCTGGGCTTTAACATTAACTAAGACCAAAATGACTCGGCAAAACCTCAAAGCATGGGCTCTTTTTCTACCGCAAGCACATGTTGTACATCAATTAAATAAAAAAAGAAGAAGAAGAAAAAGGAACATTCCAAACATAAAGATAAGAAAAACAAAACAAAAACTCTCTCTGAGATTAATCATAGAGCCTTGCATATAATAAAAACATAAGATAAAGTCTGAAACTTTCTGGAATGTCCTTCATCCTGTTGATTTGTAACTCTTTGTGTAAAGAACATATATAACCCTGCACTAAATGTTCCTTCCCTGGAAGACTCTCTTGCTTGTGAAGATTGTGTATCCCTGGCAGTTGTCCTAACTTGGGCTCAGATAAAACTCTTCCTTTCTCTTTAAAATTGTTTTAAAATTTTTTTTAAGATTTTATTTATTTATTTGACAGAGAGAGATCACAAAGGCAAAGAGGCAGGCAGAGAGTGAGAGGGATGCAGGGCCCCAATGAACGGAGAGCCCGATGTGGGACTCGATCCCAGGACCCTGAGATCATGACCTGAGCCGAAGACAGAGGCTTAACCCACTGAGCCACTCAGGCGCCCCTCTTTAAAATTTTTTAAAGTTTATGTTCGTTTTGTGTCAACACGTGATAATCCTAGGACTCACATCATTTGTTTTCCTATTTCAGGTATTTCTGTCTGTACCACCTGGTGTCTAAAGTCTAAAAACCATTTTATATAGTTTGTACACTTTTTTAGGTATGTGGTATGGAGAAGTAAATCAGTTCCTTTTACTCTATTATGGCCAGTTTGGAAAGTCCTTCTAACCTCTCTTCTTTAAAACATAGACACTGAGCATTTTGGAATTTAACATTACTTAGGCTTGTGATTTAGGGGGTTAAGAAGATTGGTGCTTTATAAGCATTAGAAAATATTTTTTGTGATCATTCCCCTCCCAGAAAAGTTGTAGTGAGCACCCTAAATGTGCCACTTTTGAAACTGTACCTTCCTTCACATTCAGAAACAGTGAAACCTATGCAGCTAAACTGAAGTGCTAAATTATTTCCCATTTACAGGGTACTGCTTTGCAAAACCAGAACTGATCTTCACATTGGAACAAGGAGAGGACCCATGGTTATTAAAGAAAGAATTTCTACGAAAGAGCTCCCCAGGTGAGTTATTGAATACTGGCAGAAGGCATCCAAGAAAATTAGATCCAAAGTGATCAGCTAAAAAAAAAAATAAAATTAAAGCAATCAGCTGGAAGTGAGCTGTTTAAAATGTTTTTCAGCACTGTCTTTTAGAGTCTTTTTAAATTACAAAAATAATAGATCTAATAAAATGTGGGGGGGGGGGCCAGTTAACACAAGGAGTGGGTTGTAAGCATGTCGATGTTCTCATCTTAAAAGATGGGAAGCTGAAAAGTTAAATAATGAATTCCATATTCTTAACAGTAAAAACAGAAAAATTAATAAAACTACTAAAATTGAGAATCAGCAGATTAGAAAAGAGAAAGGAACCATAATTTTTTCACCATATAATAATGAGTTACTAGTTGTCATCTAAATATATAGATAATTAAGAAATTACATAATATAATTGGAAAGGATAACTACTGGAACAAACCGCAGCCTTCCTAATTATTAGAAGTTAAATATGTTTAATAGAGCAAAGATAACAGACCTATTAATAGAAAAGTTTCTTTAAAAGCTATACAGAGTCCCCAATAATATTATGTGTCAACTATACTTCAAATTAAAAAAGAGAGAGAACAAGTCCTCAAGACAACTACCACATACCGCATTCATTGGTTCTTTTTGCTACTCAGCATATAGTCATACTTAACAGCTAAGATTTATAACATGAAATGATTGGTACAAAGCAAAATCAGCAAAAAGAAAAGGGACAAAGTCCAGAGGAAACCAAGTGCAAGCTTCCAAGACCCCCAGCAGTGAATGTTGTCTACCTGGGAAGTTCATTAGAGACTAGGTTCTTAGGAACCATCTCAAAATCTAAGTTCGTAGATGCCAGGCAAGGGCTAATCTTCCAAGCCAACCATCTAAGGGTAACAGTCTCAGGTCTGCTGTGTTAAACATTTTGCACAAAAGCTATGCAAATACACTACATAATATACAGTAAGGTAAACATACCTGCCATATCAACTAATGAAAATGAATTAAATTCACCTATTAAGATAATATCCCATCAAATTGTATCAAAGAGATATGCCTAAAAAGTAATATATATAGTTTGAAATATAGCCATGAATTGTTAAGCCAAAAGCATTTTAAAACTCAATATTTATTTACCTAATACTTAAGAATCAGTTCATGTTAAAAACAGATAAGAAAAGGGATATTTTGATAAAGCTAAAAAAAGTTTTAAAGGACATTGAAGTTTTCAGTATTATGTACCAAATTATCAGGATTCATAAAACAAAATCTGGCAAGAGTTATAAGGGGAAGTAGGTATACATTAGATATAATAGACCTTAATATGCCCCTCTTTCATACCAGACTCAGTGGGGTCTAGAATACAGCTCAGAAAACTATCCCTATGTCAAATCCTGCCTGCTGCTTTTTTTGGTAAAGAAACATTTATTGGAACACACAGCCATGTCCATTTGTTCATGTATTCGCACTACAAGGCAGAGCTGAGTAACTTCAGTTTGAACTACAGAAACAACATAGGCTTTAACTGCTCAGGTTCTCTTCTATGTGGATTTTTTTCAATACAGCACATGTAAATGTATTTTCTCTTTCTTATAATTTTCTTTTCTGTAGCTAACTTTATTGTAACAATACAGTATATAATACATGTAACATACAAAATGTGTTCATCAACTTTATGTCATTGGTATAGTTTCTAGTCAACAGCAGGCTATTAATAGTTAAGTTTTTGGTGAGTCAAAAATTGCATATTTTTAATTGCTTTGGGGGTTGGCACCCCTAATCTCCACATTGTTCAAGGGTCAACTATAATTGCAATAGAGATTGCTTGACCAGCAAATCCCAAACACTTACTCTCTGGCCTTTTACAAAGAAAGTTTCCCAATCTCTGGTTTAGACATTATCTAGCATATTTTATAAAAAAAATCTATTAAGTGCCTTTCAAAACTCTATTTTGAAAACAAAAAATAAACCTCCTTTTAAATGGCCTTGGAACACTGAGAAAATGTAAAGTATCTTAGACAAACGTCAATAAATTCCAAAAAGCAGAGATACTATCGTTCAGTAACACTAATTGCAAACAATAATGAGAAAAGTTAAAATCCGTCTATCTTAAAATCAGTGATGAATATATATCTTTCAAAAACCTATTTCATCAAAAGGTAAATCAAAATTATACAATATCCAGAAGTTTTTATTAAAAAAACATGTCTTGGGCTGCCTGTGTGGCTCAGTGGGTTAAGCTCTGCCTTCAGCTCAGGTCATGATCTCAGGATCCTGGGATCAAGTCCCGCTTCGGGCTCTCTGCTGGGCAGGGAGCCTGCTTCCTCCTCCCTCTCTCTCTCTCTCTGTGCTTGCCTCTCTGCCTACTTGTGATCTCTCTCTGTCAAATAAATAAAATCTTAAAAAAAAAAAAATGTCTTATTAGAACCTTTGAACTGTAGATAAAGCAGTGCAGAATTTTTCATCTCGTATACAGTTGACACTTGAAGAGCACAGGTTTGAACTATACAGATCTACCTATACATGGATTTTTTTCAATAAATGCAATAAAGTACTGTAGACATATTTTCTTTTATTTTCTTCATAATATTTTCTTTTCTCTAGCTTACTTTATTGTAAAAATACAGCATATATAATACATGCAAATTACAAAATATGTGTTAACTGTGTTTATCTTATTGGTAAGGCTTCTGGTCAACAGTAAGCTGTTAGTAGTTAAGTTTTTGGGGGAATCAGAAGTTATACACAGATTTCCAGCTGCATGGGGAGTGGTCAGCACCCCTTGGCCAGTTGACCCTTGGAACATACGGTCAATTGTACTTTTTTTTTTTTTAAGATTTTTATTATTTATTTATTTGATAGACAGAGATTACAAGTAGGCAGAGAGGCAGGCAGAGAGAGAGGAGGAAGCAGGTTCCCCGCTGAGCAGAGAGCCTGATGTAGGGCTCAATCCCAGGACCCTGAGACCATGACTTGAGCCGAAGGCAGAGGCTTCAACCTACTGATCCACCCAGGCGCCCCTCAAGTGTACTTTTTTTAACAAGAAAGAAAGTTGTAAAAGAAAGCTTAAGTAAAGTAAAAAAATGTAATACAAACTATAATGGTATCAATTATATAGCAAAGGTAATCCTCGGAATAAAAGTAAGTTAAATAGCTAACCTCAGCGAGAAAAAGGAAAGAAAGCACTCTTACTCATTATATGTTAGGAGACAGATTCCTACTTGTGTAATATAATCTTGGAATATTTTAGCCTATACTTCATTTCTTTTGTAACCTCTTAAATCATGTGATGGATGTGTCAAGTTAGTGAATGAGATGAGCTCCTTTTCTCACCTGGATTATGATCCCCCCTTAAAAGAATTGTCTGTTTGATTCTTCTACTTTGATATGTATTATATGATAAATATTTTTAATAACATTGTAGATTGATTCCAAAATGAGGTGGAGATAACTATTTCATACTGATTCATTCAGAAGACACTATTCATAAATGCAATGCCCAAGTCAAATTTCTAGGATTTTTTGAATCCTCAGGCTAAGTCAGCAATCGATCTGAGCCCTTCTATAAGCTCCCTAGGTAATTCTGAGCACACTGCTTTTTATGACATACTACAGAAGGATGCAAAGAGTATCATAGTGAGGGTTTCATTTTGGAAAAGTGAGCAAAGCTGCATAAAAAATATTTCATATCATATAAGGTACTGTTGATTAAAAGATGAACCAGTATTTTAAATACAACCAAGAAAGAGAAAATTGCTGCGCATTTAACTATGGACATGCCATCAATTTTAAAATGAATCCTAAAAAAAAAAAAGACTCCTGATTTGGGTTGTGATAATTTACTTTAAAAGTCATGAGTCACAGGTCGCTTGGGTGGCTCAGTTGGTTAATCCTCTGCCTTTGGCTCAGGTCATGATCTCAGGGTCCTGGGATTGACCCCATATCGGGCTCTCTGCTCAGCTCGGTGCCTGCTTCTCCCTCTCTCTCTACCTGCCTCTCTACCTACTTGTGATTTCTCTCTGTCGAATAAATGAATAAAATCTTAAAAAAAAAAAATCGTGAGTCACAAATATGGGCCTTCTCTGTATATCCCTTGTTAAAATAATGATACAGGCAGAATGGTACTTCTTTCAGATTTTAAAGTAAATATTGCTTAAATTTGTAAGAAGATATTAGAAGTCTTTCTGTTGTTAAGTTTAATGAAGATAGCTTTGCTATACCTGAAAGGCATCTAGATTCTGTATAGTTCTAATACTAAATTGGAAGTCAATTTAGGGAAAGAGTGTGCATATAAAGTTACTGCTGGAAAAGAACCATTTAATGGGGACCGATAACAAGATTAGAGCAGAAAATACTATGGACAGGTGGAATGGTAGCTAAAACACACAATGAACATGTAGTTAATATGACATTTTCCCTGAATCACTTAAATCTTTCATCCCTTGGTGCCTAGGGTAATGTATTCAAGGCTTTCTAATATTTTTAGGATAGGCCTGATGTTTTTGCTAGGAGTGTGGGTAGTAAAAGGGCAATAACAGTCAAATATGCATAAGAAACTTATGGTGAATAAATACAAAGGATACTTGTAGTTTTTAGGTCCAGTTTGAAGCATGATCCTTACTTAAGGTTCTCACAGTCAAAAATAAATAAATAAATAAATAAATAAATAAATAAATAAATAACTATGTTGGAAAACAGAATCAAAGATTGGGCAAGCAGGACTAGTTTGGGGAAAATAATGAGCAAGTTGAAAAGAGAAAAGTTGAGGTTTGATGACCAAGAGATAGTCACTATTTAACAATAATACCAAGGTACCAGAACCAGGATAGACCAGTGACTCCATTATAGGTGGAAAAATTACTTTAAGTCCCATCATTTTGTTTTTACTTCTACTGATACACTTTTTCTGTGAATAATACCACAGAGAGAATTAAAGCATGGCAAATAATTTTTTTTTCACCATGAGGAAGTTGGTCCCATTATAAACTTAGTGTTGTTGTGTAGACTAGAAAATATGGAGCTCCAAATGTAATCATATATTCTAATGATTATGCTACCGTTTTAATCTATATTTGACTAAGAATCTAGACTCATATTTTTCCCTAATGCAAATTCTATCTCCGGTAAATCCATTGAAAGCCTTTTAATCTACTTAGTTTCATAATCTTTGTTGAATTCATCCCATTTACTGCTTTTTTCCTGTTCCCAAGAGCAAATTCTCTCAAATATATTCTACATTCTTAATTGTTCCTTTCCTTTATATCTTCTTCTTTAACCAATTTTGAAAACTATACTTTAAGATGCCAAATCATATGGGTATTTATTTCTAGTTTCTTCCCACTAAAAAAGTTTTTTCATTTTTTGTTTTTTGGGTTTTTTTGGTTTTTTGGTTTTTTGTTTTTTGTTTTTTGTTTTTTGTTTTTTTTGTTTTTTTTTTTTTTTTTCAAAAAAAGAATATACACTTGAAATTACTTTATTAACCTGAGCCAGAAACTGAGACATCAAATACATAATAGGGCATATATCTATAAGTCCCATTCCATAAGAAGTGTGTTAAATATCTTAAAGTATTTTTAATTTTCTCATTTTTTAGAAGACTCCCAACCTAATCAACATTCAGAGAAGAGCCTAGAAGACCAAGGCAAATATTTGTGGCAAGTTTTGTTCACCAACAAATCATTGACTACAGCAGAACCATGTAATCTGGACATAAACATTTTACCTGCAAGAACAATGCCCTATAAATTTGATACTACAGGGCCTACCTACCTGCATCTCAGCTCATTGGCCCCACACTATCAATATTCAAGAAAGAAGGCTCATGAGCTTACTGAGAAATGGCTTCTTAGTATTAAGGAGAGCAGAACTAATACTAGCCAGAAATCACTTGTCTATAGTAAAAATGTGAAATCCTTCAGTCATAAAGAGAAAGTCATTCAGCATCAGGCAATTCAGACTTTGCAGCAAGCTTCTGAGTACAACGAATGTGAAAAAGCTTTCCTTGAACAGACTGCTCTCATTGCATCTGAAAGTATCCACCCAAAAGTGAAATCTTGTAAATTCAGTAAATTTGGGGTAAAACAATGTGATAAATCAACTTTTATAGTCTCTCATAGCCATAATCCAGAAGAGAAGAGTCATTGCGAATTTAATGAATATGAATGTGCCAAAAACAGAAATAATTTCAGTAGGATCATGCAAAGAACTGACACAGAAGGGAAACCTTTCAGCCAAAAATCACAAAGAGAACATCAGAAAATTCATATAGGAGTGAAACCCTTTGAATATGGAAAGAATTTCATCCATAATCCAGCCCCCCCAGTGCATCAGAGAACTCACACAACAGACAAATCCTCTGATTATGACACATGTACAGAGACATTAGGTTGCCAGTCAGCTTTCAACATACATCAGAGAACTCACATAACACTGAAACCCTATGAATGTAATGAATGTGGAAAACCCTGTACTATGAATTCATTCCTGATTCAGCCTCTGGAAAGTCACACAGGGGATAAAACCTACGAATGTCATGCATGTGGGAAAGCTTTCAGTGAGAAATCACGCCTAAGAAAACATCAAAGAACTCACACAGGAGAGAAACCCTATAAATGTGATGGTTGTGAGAAGTCTTTCAGTGCAAAGTCAGGTCTAAGAATACATCAGAGAACTCACACAGGGGAGAAACCCTATGAGTGTAATGAATGTGGGAAGTCTTTCAACTATAAGTCAATCCTCATAGTACATCAGAGAACTCACACAGGGGAGAAACCCTTTGAATGTAATGAATGTGGAAAAGCATTCAGCCACATGTCAGGCCTAAGAAATCATCGGAGAACTCACACAGGGGAAAGACCGTATAAATGTGATGAATGTGGGAAAGCTTTCAAATTGAAGTCAGGTCTAAGAAAACATCATAGAACTCACACAGGGGAGAAGCCCTATAAATGCAATCAGTGTGGGAAAGCTTTTGGTCAGAAATCACAACTCAGAGGACATCATAGAATTCACACAGGGGAGAAACCCTATAAATGTAATCATTGTGGGGAAGCTTTCAGCCAGAAATCAAATCTTAGAGTGCATCACAGAACTCACACAGGGGAGAAACCCTATAAATGTGATGAGTGTGGAAAAACTTTCAGGCAAAAATCAAATCTCAGAGGACATCAGAGAACTCACACAGGGGAAAAACCCTATGAATGTAATGAATGTGGAAAAGCTTTCAGTGAAAAGTCAGTCCTAAGAAAACATCAGAGAACTCACACAGGAGAGAAACCCTATAATTGTAATCACTGTGGAGAAGCTTTCAGCCAGAAATCAAACCTCAGAGTACATCAGAGAACTCACACAGGGGAGAAACCCTATAAATGTGATAAATGTGGGAAAACTTTCAGCCAGAAATCCAGCCTTAGAGAACATCAGAAAGCCCACACAGGGAGTTGAACATCTGAACATAAAGAATATGGAAAAACGTTGAGCCAGAAATCAAATCTCACAATATAAAAGAGAAAGAGAACCCTGTGAATAGAATAAACTATTGCAAGTTCCTCTGCAAGATACCAGTCTTCACAAACATCAGAGAACGTACACAGGAGAGAAATTCTGGGAATATATTTTATATAGGCAGTCTTTCATACAAAGTGCAGTCCTCATTATGGATCAGAGAACTCACCCACCAAAGAAATGAAATTACAGAGAGAATGAACATAAGAAATACTCTGTACTCAATCCTCAGAAAACTCACACTGCAGAAAAGGTCTGGGAATGTAATAAAATGTGAAAACTCTGTGTCAATTATCAAAATTTACTCATCATCAGATAAATGATACAATAAGAAAACTGAGAATGTAATAAGTGTTTGATAACTTTTAGCCAAAAGCCACCTTTCTCAGTACAACAGAAAATGCGTAAAGGTTATAGACCTCACACTATTTCAACACAAACAAAAAATGAGGTAATGGATGTGGGGAATTTTTCTATTATAAATCAGCCCTCAATTTGACTTACACAGAAGTAATCCCCATATGCCATATAATGGCTATTAATTGTTCACCAATAACCATTTCCTCTTTTCCCTCATGCCACACCTAGTCTAAATTTCTCAACCAGTGTCATCCAAATGGTGTCATATTAATAACTTCTGGTTAGGATTTGGGTGCCAATGACCAGTCTCATTTAATACATTCCTCGAATTAATGTTTTCTCCTGTCCCTTATTAGAATGGAGTGGAGATTTCTCCCAGTGAAACCGTGGGGCTCATGCACTGAAGATGGGAAAGTACAAGATGGAAGGAAACAGGGTAAAGAGTGACTGGAATGGAGTTTTTTCCTCCATGTAACCAGTCTTTTTGAAGCAAGGATATAAATTTGTTACTGAGTTTCTACAGGCTTGAGTATACTCTATACTGACATATACTCACCAAACCCTCAACTAATAAAGCCTATGAATATGATTTCTGTGGATATCTGAACTCAACATATATCAGAAACCCGACACAGGAGAAACCCCTGACAATATCCTGAATGACCATAGTTTTTATCCACAACTCCTCCTCATCAATCAGGTAAATATCAGTGGAAGAAACTCAACATTTCAACATATGTAGGAAATCCTTTACCAAAAAATAATATCTCATCAAATATCTGATAATTGAATTGTAAACATATGAAAGTTTTCCAACACGTTGTCAAATTTTAATCTTTCTCAGAATGTGTTACAGGGGGAGAATCTATCAATTTGAGAAAGGTAAGTAATAGCATCTACTTAGAAATTGTTTCATAGAACTATTGTTACATATGAATTATGAAAACAGTTAAACATAACAATATTGATAATGTAGACATTCACTGGAATAAGAAGCTTTAAAAAGAAATAAAAAATAAGTTGCTTAAACTGAACAGCGTTGAATATATGTGAATATTTTCTGATTCCTCTATTTTTTATCTATGTGTGTTTGTATATGTGCATGCCACTTACCAGGTATTTATAAGTATACTGGAACCCAACATCATTATAATAGAATTATGTACCCCTTGCTCAGTAACTGTTCTGACATCAGCTACATTTTACCACATGTAGATTAATAAGTCTTTTACAGGAAATATCTGAATGGACAGAATCCCATACTATATTTCATTTCTCCTGCTGCTTTCTCACATGTGCATCTAGGGAAGGATATTGTTACTAAACAGTTTTCAAAGAAGCCAAACAGTGTTTTCTGTGTACTTTTGTATTACCTCAGGGTTGCCATGCTAAAACATGGAAAGAGCCTAGATGTCCTTCAAGAGATGAATGGATAAAGATGTGGTTTACACACACACACGTACACACATGCACATATATACCCAATGGAATATTATTCAGCCATCAAACAGAAAGAAATCTTGCCATTTGCGGCAATGTGGATGGAACTAGAGGATATTATGCTAAGTGAAAGAATCAGAGAAAGACAAATAACATGTGATTTCACTCGTGGAATTTAAGAAATGAAAAAGATGAACTTGGGAAAGGGAAGGAAAAATAAAATAAGAAAACAAAGAGGGAGGCAAACCATAAAAGACTCAACTATAGAAAACAAACAGCGTTGCTAGAAGGGAGGTGGGTGGAGGGATGAGGCAACTGGGTGATGGGTATTAAGGAGGGCACTTGAAGTAATGTACACTGGGTGTTGTATGGAACTGATGAATCTCTAAAATCTACCTCTGAAACTAATAATACAGATTTGTTAATTAAATTAAATAAAACAGTAAATGATTATACAGTTAAGCAGGTAGGGGGATATTTCATGTGAAGATATTTCTAGGACTAAACTTGTAAAATAAGCTTGTGAACATTAAAATACATAAAGTGAAAAAAACATACATTTCAGCATACACACACACATATCTTCAATGTCACTGATTATTTTCTCAGCAGTATCAAGTATATTGAGGAGCCCTTTGAAGGCATCCTTCATTTATGATACTGTGTTTTTTATTTCTAGCATTAAAATTTTATTAAAATTTCTATCTCTCTGCTGAAATGACCTATCTAATCATGCATGTTGTCTAGCTTTTCCATTAGAGTCATTTTATATGATATCTGACCTTCTCTGACTCAATGAAGCAACTGCTTGGGCCCTTGCTTCTCCCTGCAGCCACCTAGCTCTCCAGAGTCTGGGTTAGTTTTTACCCTGCCATCTCAGCTGATGCATTCAAGAAAACTTACTAACTTAAAGTCTGCCTAGCTATTTTCTTTTATGGATGGGAGCAATGCTTTTTCCTGTTCTCTACTTATCTGAGCTAAAACTGAAAATTTTCAATGGATTTTTGATAAATGTTCCAGTGTAATTTGATGGGAAAGGATAACTATTTCCAAAAATGGTGATAAAATAATTGGATAATTGTGTATTTTAAATATACCTTTATGTTTACATCATAATTAAACATTTCATTCAAAATGAAATATAAACCTAAACAAAATAGCTAACAGTACAATATTTGTTAGAAAACAGACAAAAGTGTAATTTTACTTTGAGACCAAATAGTAAAGCAAAAAAGATAAGTTGAAGTTTATGAATTTTTAAAGTGCTTTTCAAGATCTTATTATGAAAATGGAAAAAAAACACAGATTAGGAGAAAATGTCCCTAATAGATCTGACAATTATATATGATTAAAGTACTTGCATTCACAATATGTAAAGAATATTAATAATGGGAAAAAATTATAATGCAATAATAATAATACAAACAACCTAGTTAAAATGGGCAAAACAGGAGAAAATTAAAACAGGCATTTTAGAAAAGAAGATATATAGGTACCCAATAAATACTAAAAGAGATGTCCCAAGCTTTAGTCGTCAAGGAAATGCAAACTAAAATTATGTGATAGTATTACAAATCCCTTTGATAGTTCCTTATAAAGTTAACAATATCATACCTACAACTAACAATTTGAGCTCTAGAAATTTGCCTCCAAGGAAACACTGTAGCCAGAAAATTTTTTAAGTTATTCTAAAGAATTTTATTAAGATGTTCAAGGAACTTTTATTCACAGTAGCTCCAAATTAGAAAGAACCAAAATGTCCATCAACAGATAAATTGTATAAACAATGATATTAGAATGGAGTAGCACTCAGTAATAGAAAAAACTGCTAATGGATGTATATCAACATTGATAAATCTCAATAAGATTAGGCTGGGAAAAGAAGCCAACCAAAAGAATCTGTATCATCTCTTTTCTATGAAATTCTAGAAAAGACCTCTAATATAGAGGGATAGGAAACACATCATTGGTTGCCTAGGGTGGGGTTTGGGATTCACTAGATAGAGGAACAATGAAATGGTTTAGTGTGATGGAAGGTTCTATATTTAGATTGTGGTAGTGTTTACAAAGCTGAATAAATGTTTGCAACTCATCAAAATGTACAAAAATGCATACACTTTATATTACATAAATTACATGTCAGTACAGTTGATTTTAAAAATCATAAAATTGAACTTTATTATGTATATTAGGAGACCCAGCATGTGCCAAGTGGCTTATTGACTTTACTAATTGGATATTTATTCCCCTCCCCCTCCTGTTTGGCTTTGTGACCTGGAGAAAGTCAGTTCTTTATGTTCCTCGATTTCCTCATTCATGGAAGGTGCACAATGATAGTAATTACCTACAATCCATTTGGGGAGCATTTTCTGAATCTATGTCAATCACTTAAACCAACCTGGCACAAAGCAAATGGGCAATAAATAATAACTACCATTATTTTACTAATGCTAAAAATCAAAGTGAATGTGTTCTTTAAAAAAGCTTAATGCAAGATTATAATTCATAATAAAACAATGGGATAATTTAGACCTAAAGGAGGCTTAGCCTTGATTGGATGGGAGTTCCTCACATTATTATGGCATCTATTTTTCTAACCCTATCTGATGACACCATTCCTGAAGTGCTTGAAACTTTGGGGTCTGCTAAGTTGCTGACATGACTTCATCCAAACATTAAGTGTCTAGTTCCCAGGATTGCTTCTGAACAGAGACATAAAAGCCCCTCCCTCAATGGCTCTACATCCCCCCGCACCATCTCCCTAAGATTCTCTCCTTTTTCTCTCTTCTCTTCTCTCTCCACCAGCCCCCTAAGATTCTCTCTCCTTCTTCTTCCCTCTCTTCTTCTCTTAAAAAGAAGCTTTTAGAATCCAAAACTAAGCTGAAGTATTGTCACTTGGGTTCTCTGCTACAGTCCAGATTAGTAGGCATATACACAAGATGTATGAACATTCTAGAAAGAAGTCATACTTGAGCATAGTACTAATAACACAAACACACATACACATTCTCTAAATGCTTTCAGCATATGATACCACAGCTGCCGTAAGTTGTTTCCCTGTTGTATTGAAAGTGATTTCATGTGTGACTAATAATGCCTTTTAACACAAGAACTGTATCCTCAGTTCTTTTGCATAATGGAATCACATGGTGCCTGCCATAAAAAAAAGAAGACTCAGCTCTGCAGCTGACTTGGCTCTAATCATGGGCAGAAGCCACGAGGTTTCACATTATTTGTCACAGGTGTGTCAAAACTTTAAAAAAAAAAAACAAAACCATTTCAAATAGTAGAGGATTCTCTACCCGTGTGCAGAGTTCATGGGGGCATGACTTGGGCCACAGTTTGAGAACCCATCTTCTGTGTTGAGAGAAAATTTTGACAAGGATTTGAGACATTGAGCTCAATTTTCAGCGGCCCTTCCATATTCCTAAGAGAAACTTATTCTCATCAGGACTAAAGCACCCTCCTTCAGGTTTACCAAAGAAAAGAGTGCTTGAATGATGCTTCTAACAATCAAACACACAAGTAATTTGTTTTCATATTATTCTATATTGTTGTGGAAAGAATATAATTTTTTAAATTAAGTGTGGCTTAGCCTGCTCCTTTGCATATTTTTCCAATGTTTTTATATTATTTAGCTATGTATTACCCCCCAGCACTGTTTTTTTTAATCCAGTGATTTTGATATATTGTCTTATCCTTTTCATTGTCTCTAAGTATTTTCTAATTTCCCTTGTGATTTCTTCTTTGATCTATTGTTTAAGAGTGTTGCTTAATTTCCACAAAAAAATTTTCCAGTATTCCTTCTGTTACTGATGTTTAACTTCATCCTGCTATGGTCATAGAAGAGACTTTGTATCATACCTTTCTTTTTCAGTCTATTGAGACTTAATTTGTGCCCAAATGTTTGGTCTCTCCCAAAGAATGCCCCATATGCACTTGACACAAATGTGTATTATATGTTGTTTAGTACAGTGTTCTATAAATGTTTGTTAGATCTAGTTGGTTTATTTTGTTGTACATGTCTTCTGTTTCCTTACTTATCTTCTGTCTGGTTGTACAACCATTATCAATAGTGAGATTGAAATCTCCATGTTATTATAGAAATATCTGTTTCTCCCTTGATTCTGCCTATTTTTGCTTCTTATTTTGATCTTATTATATGTGCAATTTTTTATAAATGTTAAGGCTTCTTGCTGTATTAAACCTTTTATTAATATGTAAATTTTTAATAACCTTTTTAAAAATTTTATTTAAATTCAATTAACATATAGTGTATCATTAGTCTTAGAGGTAGAGTTCAGTTATTCATCAGTTGCATATAACACCCAGTGCTCATTACATCTTGTGCCCTCCTTAATGCCCATCACCCAGTTACCCCATCCCCCCACCTGCCTCCCCTCCACTTTTTTTCCTATAGTTCAGAGTCTTTTATGGTTTGTCTCCATCTCTCATTTCATATTATTTTATTTTTTCCCTCCCTCCCCCTATGATCCTCTGTTTTGTTTTTTTAAATTCCACATGAGTGAAATCATAGGATAATTTTCTTTCTCTGATTGACTTATTTCACTTAGCATAATAACTGTTTTTATTTAAAGACTATATTGTCTGATAATACAAGCACCCCTACACTCTTTTGGTTACTGTTTGCATAGAATATTTTTCTATCCTTTCAATATTAACCAGTTTGTCTTTGGATCTAAAAGTAAGTCTCATGGCAGAAGAGCAGGGGATCTTGTTTCATCTGGTCCTTGAATTCAGCTGGATATCTACCAAACCATTCTGAACACCCACAAAATCAGCCGAAGATGTTAGAAAATATATCTGGAGCTCTACAAGCAGAAAAGTGACTGCTTTTTGCAAGGTAAGAGGTGTGGAGAAGTGAATCTGAGGGGAAGTATCAGAAAATAAACAGAGGGGGGAGGGAGCCTCCATAAACTGGCTACTGGAAAGTAATATAACGCTGGCGTGCAAAAATGGAAA